TTATTGTGCCTTGCAAAGCAAGCACAATACTACTCTGCCGTGTGCTTATTATTATTCTTCCGTACGTTTTTCGGCGCGCTTCTTCTCCTGCAGCTTTTGTCGCACATACACAAAAAAGGTATCAAAACGTGCGGCTCGGCCGGGAATCGAGTGCTATGACTTTTCTAAGAATTTCGCCAAACGGTTTGCCGATAAATCGCCAAAAACCGGTCCAAAAAATGAATGGGTGTGTATTGCGAGAACCTCCAACTGAAAAAAACTGCCAGAGTGCGTGACATCATCGCTAGAGTGTGGGGAGAAGGGAAAAATTTGTCGAAAAATAAATTTGTAAACTGCTGTCATGGCCACAAATTTCACTCTACAGAAATAATTTATAGATAGAAACGTAGGTAAATTCGTTGGGGTCGCAGTGATACTACTGCTGAAGCTGTCAGACAAATAGTTTTGGCGGGAGAAGCACTGATGCGCCAGCAACACCCTCTCACGGCCCCATCTACTCCCATGTTAATTTTAGAGGACAAATCTTGAAACACGCTCGTTGAACCTCTTCTCTCTCAATCTCCCCAGGTCACATTTTTTAACTTTAACCACTGAAACTCGGCAGAGCTATAGTCAACAAGATGACGACGCTCACAGTCTTTTCGGTTTTCATTTCGGTCGTTCCTGGCCATGCTTTTGAGGGGATTCATTTTAATTGTTTTCTGTCTCTCTCAAGAGTTAGAGACAGAGAGAGCGTGCGCAGCTGCTGTGGGCTCCCCTGATTGCCATGACAACCAAAGCCTGCTCACACACACACACACACACACACACACACACACACACACACACAGCTAGCTACAGAGAATGACAAGACAATAATAAGCTAGCTAGCTGGCTAGCTAAAGATAATTAGCAGGCGGCTAACAAGCAAACAATTTAAAGCTGAATGATTTTAATATTAACACAAAATAAGTTCAATACACCTTAAATATTTTACCCTACTATGAGCTGTTACTTAATTTACATTAGCACTCCTTCAGGAGCATAATACAATTAAACACATTAACCAAAGCTAGCGATTAGCTAGTGATTAGCGCTTAGCTAGCGATTAGCATGTAGCTAGCGATTAGCGGTTAGCTAGCGATTAGCACGTAGCTAAGCGCTAGCTTTGGTTTATGTGTTCATGTGTGCTAGCTCTAGCTAGCTAAAGAGAATGATATGATTTTAATATGCTAGCGCTATCTAAGGAGGATGACAGGTTATCAATATGCTATAGGGAGGATTACATGGCATTAATAATCTAGCGCTAGCTGGCTAGCTAAAGATAATTAGAAGGTGGCTAACAACCAAACAATTTAAAGCTGAATGATTTTAATATTAACACAAAATAAGAACAATACACCTTAAATATTTTACCCTACTATGAGCTGTTCCTTAATTTACATTAGCACTCCTTCAGGAGCATAATACAATTAAACACATTAACCAAAGCTAGCACTTAGCTAGCGATTAGCGGTTAGCACTTAGCTAGCGATTAGCGCAGAGCTAGCGATTAGCGGTTAAATAGCGGTTAGCACGTAGACATGGTATTAACATATGGGCCAGAGCAAGGCACAATCAAAATTGCTTTAGGAATTTTCTAGTTATTATTATTCTTCCGTACGTTTTTCGGCGCGCTTCTTCTCCCGCAGCTTTTGTCGCACATACACAAAAAAGGTATCAAAACGTGCGGCTCGATGAGGACATTAGTGCTATGACTTTTCTAAGAATTCCGCCAAACGGTTCGCCGATAAATCGCCGAAAACCGGTCCAAAAAATGAATGGGTGTGTATTGCGAGAACCTCCAACTGAAAAAAACCGCCAGAGTGCGTGACATCATCGCTAGAGTGTGGGGAGAGAGAAAAATTTGTCGAAAAATAAATTTGTAAACTGCTGTCACCGCCACAAATTTAACTCTACAGAAATAATTTATAGATAGAAACGTAGGTAAATCTGTTGGGGTCGCAGTGATACCACTGCTGAAGCTGTCAGACAAATAGTTTTGGCGGGAAACGCACTGATGCGCCAGCAACTCACTCTCACGGCCCCATCTACTCCCATGTTAATTTTAGAGGAGCAATCTTCAAAAACGCTTGTTGAACCTCTTCTCTCTCAATCTCCCCAGGTCACATTTTTTAACTTTTGCCACTAAAACTCGGCAGTGCTATAGTCAACAAGATGACGACGCCTACGGTGTTTTCGGTTTTCATTTCGGTCGTTCCTGGCCATGCTTTTGAGGGGATTCGTTTTAATTGTTTTCTGTCTCTCTGAGGAGTTAGAGACAGAGAGAGAGCGTGCGCAGCTGCTGTGGGCTCCCCTGATTGCCATGACAACCAAAGCCTGCTCACACACACACACACACACACACACACACACACACACACACAGCTAGCTACAGAGAATGACAAGGCATTAATAAGCTAGCGCTAGCTGGCTAGCTAAAGATAATTAGCAGGTGGCTAACAAGCAAACAATTTAAAGCTGAATGATTTTAATATTAACACAAAATAAGAACAATACACCTTAAATATTTTACCCTACTATGAGCTGTTCCTTAATTTACATTAGCACTCCTTCAGGAGCATAATACAATTAAACACATTAACCAAAGCTAGCACTTAGCTAGCGATTAGCGCTTAGCTAGCGATTAGCATGTAGCTAGCGATTAGCATGTAGCTAGCGATTAGCAGTTAGCTAGCGATTAGCACGTAGCTAGCGATTAGCGGTTAGCTAGCGATTAGCACGTAGCTAAGCGCTAGCTTTTGGTTTATGTGTTTATGTGTGCTAGCTCTAGCTAGCTAGCTAAAGAGAATGACATGATATTAATATGCTAGCACTAGCTAAGGAGGATGACAGGTTATCAATATGCTATAGGGAGGATTACATGGCATTAATAAAAGGTAATTAGCGCACAGCTAGCGATTAGCGGTTAGCACGTAGACATGGTATTAACATATGGGCCAGAGCAAGGCACAATCAAAATTGCTTTAGGAATTTTCTAGTTGAAGGTTACTATCTCGTAGTTACAAGAAAAGATCTAGTAAATACAATAACAGTTAGTTATGAAAAACTGGATAGGTGCCAGCAGTAGAACTAGGCTACTTATTGAAGAAATGTTTTTTATCCCACATCAAAGTTAAGGGGAAAAGGTTGTTTTGATGAACTGTAATGGACTTCATCAGTTGGCTTTCCTTTCATTCTTTAATGGACACACATTGTTTCCTTCTAAACCACAAATGTGACCTCATGGTGGTGCTAGTCAAAAAGCCAAAGTTAACAGGACCAATATTACTCCTCACTGTTGTGGCCAGTGTGATCAAAGCAGCAAACAACAAAAAACTCCAACATTACATTAAGTGAAGTAAAGGCTTGAGCATAGAGAGAAAATATCTTTCCTTTAATGTCCTGTACAATCTGTTTTTTTTAAGCTTTTATCTAAAACTCCACTCAGAATCATATCTTGATTTTTATTATGCTGCCTAATCTGTGACATACAGTGCAGGTATAGTCTTCTTGTAACAGTATGAGTAAAGCTTCCTGTATGTCCCGACGGTGACGAGAGACGTGCTGCGAGGCAATTCAATTCAAAGGGCCTACTGATTGGTAGCGAAACCTTATTTTCCAAGTATCGATCCTGTGGGCAACCGGCAAAATGCAAAAACCTCGGCAAGACAGATCTGCTGTCACGTCTTACAGTAGAAATCAGGCAATCAATGTCACATACCTCCATCTGGGCCTGTAGGAGCCTAATTCCACTCATCGGTGCTAAATAGTGAAAACCCTTGGGTTCATCAATCATCAATTCAAGGAGCACTCTTTAGTTAATAGTCCGGTCTTTACCCACTGAACGGCCACTGCATTTATCTGTGTGAGCCAGCGGATACTCCCTCTATTTGACAGAGGGAGGAGATGGGAACAATATGTTTCTCTATTCTCTTTCTCGCTCAGCTTGCTGCACTATAATTTCCAATTTGGGGCTTTCTGCTATCATGATTTGAAATTGAAGCTTGCAGCAAAGATTGATTATCTCTAACCCCAACAGAGTACATTTGATTGGTCAATTTCTTAGAAAACGCCATGCTTGACTGTGAAAGTCAATATTTCCTAAATGATATAGATAAGTAATATCTCATGACGCATCATTTTAACCAATACAGAAGCATGTTCTTGTATTGGCAGGGCCAACTCAACTAGAAAGGCTTCTAGGGCTTTTAACTAAGATAAAAGAGATACTGTAAAGAGACATAATTTATTATAGAGTAGTATATAGAATTTTCTTTGAAAGAACTATGTCATTTGGTGTCCTTAAAGGGAGAATATAACTGCTACATTTAAGCCTAAGCGAATAATTATTCACTAATCTATATAATCTAAAATAACTATCTTGATGCCTTGATGCAAATGGTGATGCTGGTGAGGTACTTCTAAACAAATTTGTCTTTGTGTAAACACAGCTAGCTGAATGCTAACAAAAACAGCATTGAAAATGTCCTTGTTAAAAGGGTTATGTTGGGTTAGGGTCGTACTAAATAAGTACTGGCACCTTTATTTGTCCAATTCAGGCACTAAACATTACAGACCCATAACATAAGGATACCAAATAAGACTGCCAACTAGCAAACATGGATGTTAACATTGCAGGTTTTTGCATTGTTTATACAATTTCTTTGACCCGGGTTTTGGTGAATTTACAAGAAAACTCCACAAAGAAGCTGTCCATAAACTAATAATAATGTTAAAGGTTTAAGTTCCTGTAGACTAACAGGTCCAACAGACTGTTTCTTCAGTTCAATACATGACACACCACCTGACAGATATCTTTTCTCTCTTCCTCAGATTACAAGTGCCCACGCCTCAAAGTCGGACATTGTCAAGTCGGGAAGCCCCAAATCCACACTAAAGCATATATGGACAGAAAGCAGTAAGGATATGTCCATCAGTAGGCTGCTGTCACAGACTCTACATGGCAAAGAGAACAGCACAGCCTTGGACCTTCGCTATGACACTCCAGAGCCCTACTCTGAGCAGGACCTGTGGGACTGGCTGAGGAACTCCACAGACTTGCAGGACTCGCGGCCGCGGGCTAAACGGCGGCCAATGGTCAAGACAGGAAAGTTCAAGAAGATGTTTGGCTGGGGGACTTCCACTCTAACATTAAGACGGTCAAACTCAACCTGCTGATCACCGGTAAGATTGTGGATCACGGCAATGGCACCTTTAGTGTCTACTTCCGCCACAACTCCACAGGCCAGGGCAATGTGTCTGTCAGCTTGGTCCCTCCAACCAAGATAGTGGAGTTCGATGTGGCGGCACAGCAGTCCGTCATCGACGCCAAGGACTCAAAGTCCTTCAACTGCCGCATAGAGTATGAGAAGGTGGAAAAGGGGGCCAAGAACACGCTCTGCAACTTCGACCCATCCAAGACCTGCTACCAGGAGCAGACCCAGAGCCACGTCTCTTGGCTCTGCTCCAAACCTTTCAAAGTCATCTGCATCTTCATTTCCTTCTACAGCACCGACTACAAACTGGTGCAGAAAGTGTGCCCGGACTACAACTACCACAGTGACACTCCTTACTTTCCCTCTGGCTGACATTCCCATACGCTCACATACAGAGAAGTGGACGAGTGGAGCACAGACTGGGGCTTCTACCCATGGCAGAGAAGTGTGTATGTTAGCCGTACTGTCCCTAAACATGTCCATACCAGAGTTTCAGCCATCCCAACTTATTTCCCAATTTAATGTTCTGAATTTTGCAGAGAGCAGTTATTTTAACTTTTAAAAAGGTGGTAAATAGGACTGTAATATGCTTAAAAATTACCTGAAAAACTATGATTGTTATCAATTAGAATTATGTTCCTGAATTATGTTTTTTCCCTGTTAGATAGCAGGGGCTTATTAGTCCTTTTGGGATTGTTATTGCTATTAAACTCTGCCCTTTGTTGTTTTGCTTCATGTTTAGTTTCAACTTCTTTTCGAACTAGATCTTAATAACTTTGTTTTTCCTCTTTTAGTATATTTCATATTCGATGCATTAACTCTCTGGACAACAACATTATGGACTGTTTGCCCCTGCTGTGCTATCTACGCTCTGCAGTTTATCCTGCATAACTGGAAAACAAAATTAACTTCTCATTTAAAAAGAATTAAAAAAAGAAAAAGAAAATCCTTTTTACAAACGTGCAAGACAAGAAGAGGACAGTGAAGATTCAAATGTGAGTTTGATGCTTTTTAGAAATGTGAGGCGCTCCCTGCCTATGAAGGGGCGAGCTGCAATCGAGCAGGCTTCTCCCTCAGGTGAGTTTCAGCCAGGAGAGAGAATGTGTTAAAATGCTGTAACGCTGTCGTCTGAGCGTTGCTGCTCGTGCAGCTAGGTGTTGAGTTTGTCGGGTGATTGGTTCATTCTCGGCTGATTGAATGTCTGATTACCTGACTGATTGATCAGTGGCTCGTTCGTGGGGGATGGGGCTTGCTCATTGTCACTTATTATATCAAATGTAATGTATTGAATTCTATATCTTAGAGCCTAATTTGTATGAATGGTTTGTATTGTACATAGTTTATCCCAATTGCGCTGCTTCTGTACATGCCCCCCATGAGCTGTGTATTTACCCCTCACCCGCTAAACCCTCTTGTTCACTCCATTTATGCTTGTTCTTGGTTCCTCTAACAAAGAAAATGATGTTGCTGCCCTAGATGTGAATTTCATGAAAACAGCAATCCTGTAGAGGACTGACTAAATATATTAAAAGTATTAATTGAAAGTTTCTTTATTGGGGGGGGAAGGTAGGGGTTGGAGATGTACATATGAATTAAAGAACACAGTAAATTTTATCAATTGAATGTTGGTACGTGTGAGTTCTTAATGTGACTCCGAGTGATTATTTGTTGACGTCTGGTTATATCACTACACCAGGCTCGCATGTGTAAATGGTAAATGGACCTGTATAGCGCCTTTCTAGTCTTCCGACCACTCAAAGCGCTTTTACACTACATGCCACATTCACGGCAAAGTCCATCAAACAGAAATTAACATTCATACACATATGCACGGCATCGGGAGCAATTTGGGGTTCAGTATCTTGCTCAAGGATACTTCGACATGTGGCACCAGGAGCCGGGTATCGAACCCACAACCTTCCGATTAAGGAAGGAACGACCCGCTCTGCCTCTGAGCCACAGCCACCCTTACTGTGTAGTAATACACTCATTCCTATCCAGTTCCCAAAAGCCATGACAGGCAGCACAAAGAAAATTTACTTTGTTGTAGATGGTTACAATGACTGTTGTTTATTATTTTTTATATTTTCATATTTCTTTCAGATTTCTTGAATTCTGCTGCTGTTTGTTTGCCACTGTGGGTATAAAAATAAACTCAAATATAATCCTAATCAGCCTTCAAGGAGTTGAAATATAAACACTTCTGGTTTAAACAGTTATTTTTTACTTGAAATTGTACTTGAAAAGGTCAGAAATGGATTCAGCATCCTAAATAGTCCCCAGCACCACTCCGATGTTGTCTAGCAATTGGTGAAATATTGTTAATTTCCTAACATATGCAAGTTATATGCTGGGGACCTATACTGTACATTTTCATCATAAAACTTTTGGGTACTAACATTTCCGGACTGGGAAATAGACCAGAAAGATTGTGCCTATGGAAAAAACATTCTTTGTTGGGTCTACAATGGAGCCTCCTCTTCCTAACATTCAGCCTCGTTTAAGAAAGGACACTGCCACAGAACACTGGAATTGAGCAATAATTGTGCACTACAGAATCAGCCAATATGAATTTCTACTCAACTCTTGACTTGAGTAGTGATAAAATCCATACTGTCGCCTTAACACCGTCCCTGTCAGACAAAAATTGATGTAGAATGAGTAAACAATCTGAGCTGAGAAGATGCTGTGTAAAATTCAAGTCTAATGCCATTTGCACCCTAAAGTGACAAGCACCTTTAAAACACTGAGAAACCTTACAACCTTACAATCCTCCCCTCCATACACTTACAGATTTGGGTTTTATTTTCATTGTTTTAGCCATCATTTCTACTAGTTATGATAGAATGTTGTCATAATAGACACCATTGTTCGAAAAAACAACACCAAAGGGTTTTCTTGGATGCCACTATGGTAGATAAAATATGGTAAAGTGCCCTCTAGGTTGCTAATCCTAACCCTGACTAAGCTATTTCACAATAAACCCATCACAACTTCCTGCGCGCACGTGCCAGAGCTATGAAAATAAACCAAATACAAAAACCATTTCTTCATTGAGGTCTTATACCAACAGTTCTGGATTCAGTCAGTATAAAATCATCACACTAAACAAGAGCGAGAGCTGCAAACAAATGCTACGAGCGCTCACCGTGCAACAGTGAAGAGAGTTTTTTAAAAAGACAACAAGGAATGAACCATTTTGGATCTGCAACCCAGCAGCATTGAATAAACTATTATTCTGTCATTCTGTACCACTATCAGTGTTTGACAGTTTTCCAGACTCAGTGACAATTTAGACACAATTTGTTCAGTATTCAAATATAGGGCTGGGTATTTATCCACGTTAAACAGTCTGTCCTACATTTTAAATTTGAATACACATTATTTACCCCCCAAAAAAATAACTCTTTGAATGAACATGGAACTTGAAAGTATTTCAGCATTAAGCAATTATGTTGGTCCAACTTAATTTACTTAAGTTGAGTCAACCTAATTTAGTAAGGTTGATTCAACTTACTAATAGGGCTGTGTATTGGCGAGAATCTGGCGATACGATATGTATCAATATGTTGCTATATATTGCAATACTCAAGCAACATTGCAATTTCCACCATATGTATAAAATCTGAGCTTAAAAAAGTTTACTTTATGCAGTGAGATCTGCATTTGTATTTCTCACAGTCCCTGTAACATCCAACATCATAGCCCTCAGTTTACAAATTAAGTGAAATCAAAGAAGTAAGAGTGTAACTTACATGAAAAAGTACAACAACAAACATTCACTGGGCATGAAACAAGTCAGAATCATGTCATGTCTTTGAGTCATGTCCAGCAAACATTAAGCAATTGTTTAATGGACATAAACACAACAGTTTAATTTATTACTAACATAATTCTAATATGCTGATCAAACACTGGTTGTTGTTTTTTTTTCTTTTTAGTGTTGATAATCTTCCTCATTTTGCATTTTATGGCAATGCTTTTCAAATGTTGTTCAACTGTGCAATATACTGGTTAAATCATTACATATCTTCACAGGTTATTTATTTCACCACAATACAGAATTTTGTTTTGGCACTGAGGAAATGACTGATTAGGTACTTGGTATGTGTGTTATGACAAATTGTGAGGCCTCCAAATTTCTCATGTGTATAGTGTACAAACAGGGTGTATGTAAACAGTCTGTGGAAAGCGTCACATTGCCTTCAAAGTAAAAGGGACCCAGAACACATAAGCCCCATGCCTGGCTATAATTACTTCTTGAATCTTCTTCTGATTTCGCACCATGTGTGATCGAGCAGATTTCCAAATAATGGAGCGTGCCAGAAAGTTGGACACATAGAGGTGAACTTGTATTCCAGTCCCTGGGAGATGTGGAGATTGGGATGTGAGACTGATAGCGTCTGTTCTGGGACTTCACAGTGGCACCTGCCATCGAATCCTCCGACTCGGCAGTTAGGATCAGCAGTCGGCTTTAAACAGATTAGGGGCTCTAGGGGAGGGAAATCCGCTGCCTTTAGCTGGCTCACAACTTATCAGTAATTAAAGTGGATGCCAGGTTTGTGTGTTCATTGGCGGTCCGCAGAGTGCTTTTATAGCTGTCCTCATTAAGGAGCTGCCTCCAAAAGTTTGCCCTCAATGCTCACTTTTAACAAGCCAGTGGGGATTTCATAGTATATGGCTAAATACCATCAGTGTAGACACAAACACATATCAAAATAATTCCTGTTAATTCTGTATGTAATGGACATGAAGACATTTTTTTTGTAAACCGTACAGCAATGCCAAGGAGGAAATGATCTGATTTGATTTCTATGCAGACCCATTAGGGATTGTTATATTTCACATGTTGAGAAATCATGTACAACTAAATACTAAATAGGTAGAACCGCTGAAGGAAAGACAACATTGGGGACTATGAGTGAAGTAAAAAATATAATGTATAGACTGGCTGATACAGACTTTAGAATGGTTACAGATGAAAAGTACTATGATAATAAAAATACATTGCAAACTAACTAATGAAGCCTTTTTATTAAAGTAGATGTGACCCTACAGACACAAAAACACACTCAAAATAGAAATTGATTTATTCATTTGTGCCAAAAACATGAAATGTAACTACATATTTTCAAAATGTTGTCTTCGGAATAGTTTGGTTGCAACCTCTATTTTATTTTGTTCATGTTGACTTATTCTGTATTGAATTAGTTTAGTCTGTTGTTTCTTTGTGTTTTCTTTTTTTTTTAATTTCATATATTTATTTCTCAGGTTTCATCTACCCATTTGCCAACATGCTTTTAGTTTGTCTTGTGCGAGGGTGGGATCATGGGAACAGGAGGTGATGCTGTGAGCTTGTCACATGATCATTGGACTTTTTTTGTTTTTTCATTAGTTTTCTCCCTCATTTCTTCAAATTCAAATTCTTTTTCTTTTCAATATATACATCGGTTATGGTAATGGTAAATGGTAAATGGACCTGTACTTATATAGCGCCTTTCTAGTCTTCCGACCACTCAAAGCGCTTTTACACTACATGCCATATTCACCTTTTCACACAGCAATGGCAAAGTCCATCAAACAGAAACTAACTCATTCATACACATTCACACAATTCGGGATTCAGTATGTTGCTCAAGGATACTTCGACATGTGGAGGAGCAGGGGATCGAACCAACAACTTTCTTATTAGTGGACGACCCGCTCTTCCTCTGACCCACAACCACCCAGATCTTATCTTATCTGCTATTAGATATAAGTTGTTATGTCACTTCTCTTAAGGAAAGGGGGGCAGAGGGTGTGGCTGCCCTGGGGCCATGGTTCTACACAGTTACAAACTGGCCCACCTTTGGCCCAATCTGCCTGACTGGACATGCATTTCTGCCCCCTCTGCAATGAGCCATCAGCTCTGCGCCTGGTGCCAAAGATATTTTTATTTCAACAAAAATAACAAAGGAAAGCTAGTGGTTGGTACGTTGATTAATGCAGGGTTAAAGAAATACACCTGGTGTATTTCCTATAAATGTGGCAGTTAGATATTGCATTTACCACCTAGCAGAGATTGGGAAAAACTAATCAAAGTATATCAGGACAAGCTGGGTGAGCCTCCTACAGCTTTCCACATAAAGTTTTGAGTAAAGGTATTTACTTAAATCTTTTAAAACGCTCAGTATGGCTAACTGCATTAGGGTCTACACCTGGGTCAACTTGGTGGCTATCACCCTGGGGGATGTATTTATAATTATACAACACAAGGTCGTATAATGATATGAAAGTTTGCAGTTCCTTCATGCTATATACATATGAAATTATAATAGAATAACATAGAAAATGATTAAAATAAAGTAAAATAAATCAACATATACACAGTTATTTATATACATATATACTTACAGTATACACCCAGGAAATAATTCTGCAGGTCATCTTTTGAATTTGCGTCTAGTTGAATGTAAACAGCAGCAACAAGATAGTGAAATAGTGAAAAAGAAACTGAGACACAATAATCAACTATCTTCGAGAACAGGAGCCAGAGCCTTCAGTT